TAAAATTGCAGCACAATCGTACAAGTACGCGCGAATGTGTAATAATTAGCATGTGTTGATAAAAACGTCCCTTACGAAATAGGGAAAGCGGTTTGTGCGACGAAATAACAATAATTACTATTATTACTTTATCGCGTGCTACTTCACAAGTCAGGCAATAATTTTCGGCTATGTTCGTTCTTCGCTGCAGGTGGTCAGGACGTTCGCTCATTTGACTAATTACCGGTACTCGATCTACTGTTCCTTCGTGATTCTCCACGGATCATTTCCAGTTACTAATCCTCGCTCTTCCTTTATAACTTGCCACAACGTGTGAAACGTTCTTCTCACACTGTTAATTAATTAATCGCAGAAAATGAAACACTCAAACTGTATAACATAATAATTAGTAGTTCTTCTTTTCTTCAACATGATAATTAATATTTGAATTCGTATTACTTTGTATTTTATTTGTTAAACCGTTGATAAATAGCACAAACGTGTAATTATTTTGTTCAACGATACATATTTCTTATTGAAAATCTCGTCGACGATGAAACAAAATTACTACTACAATCGGCACAGGAATATATTTATCATGACATTCAAATATATGTCATTAAATGTAATAAAAATGTAGCTACATATATGATTTATATTCTACGTATCTTATTTATACTGTAGCTGTTTCGCAACTTTCTCCACACTCCCCTTTAATTAATATCGCGCATTATTTTCGTAATTCAACGTCCACTCATAATGCGAGCCATTCATAATTGCAATTTAAAAGGGGATTCATCAGAGCTCCGAAAACGTCATTTACAAATTGAACCTCGCGTGGCACACGCGGGATACAAGTGGAGGAAGGAACCGGCTCGCTGTTTCGTGAGCGATTCTCAGAAATTCGAAAGTCTTCCAGCGAGATTGACCGGTTCCCGGGGAGATTCGCGGTGGCAGATACGTGCAACACGAAAGGCCACGGCGTCGTTTCGCCCGTGAACAAGCCAAGTCACGATCTGGAGCTCTTGCACCGAGGTGCAGAGGTCGAGCCAGCCGAGAGGAGCCAATTCACTTCGTGCCTTGAAATTCCATCGTGCGGTGCACGAACCGAGAGAGAGAGAGAGAGAGAGAGAGAGAGAGAGAGAGAGAAGCAGCAGCAGCGGCAAGACGAACGAGGCTGATCGTGAACGACGATCCACGAGAAGATTTTTCAGTCGTTTCTTCTCTCTTCTCTTTCTTCGCTTTCCTCCGGCGCTACCTCGAACCAATCCACAGAAAAATTCGTCACGAAATCACGGAGAACGTTATTAGCAAAGCCACGAGAGAGCGATCCGCTCCCCCGATCGCAAACCGGACAACGTTTCGCAAATAAGAAGCTCGTTTCGCCGTTTGCCTCCTTCTTTTTCAGATAGACATTTTCACCGACGTCAGGCAATTATACGCGGCAATTTGCGTAACACGCGAATATTTAAGTACGATAAGATCGAGCCGCGGCGTTGGCAGTGGAAACTGGTCGGGCTTCGTTGATTATTGAAACGCGAACTGGACTGTGTTTCTTTGTCTGAAAGATAATTTAGTTCCTGAAGCTTAATTTCGACGAGCGATTTAAATTAGAGAAGTTTAGAACGTTCACATTTACGGTGTTGATAGTTTCAGAATATCAGATTTAAATGTTAAACAAGAGTGTAGATGTACGTGATATATGTTCAAAGTGCAACATTCACAAATCATATTGTTATATCTACATTTTCCTGAGATGTGCAAATTCAAATATAATTATAACAGAGAATGTAAGTACAGGTCTTAAAAAGTACAATTTTTTATCGAATTTATACTTCATATTTATAATCTTCAATTTATATATTTCAATCCATGCAATATTAACGTTAGAAGATTTATATATTTTACACACAGAGTTTTACAAACCATCCAGATTCGAGAATGAATGAACACTATATAATACTGTGTCAAATACATACTGACAATTTCTATTCTTCGCAATTATTAAGCTAATGTTCGCGTGTATGCCTAATTTCTTAATAGACGTTCCACGCGCCACACGTATACACGTGTATTTTAGTACACGTTCAAAAACGTGATCTCTAGTTTTTACTTAAAGAGTTCTACAGTGCTGAAGGAAGAGTTCGAGAGAAAAAGAGAGAAAGAGAGAGAGAGAGAGAGAGTGGCGGCAAGCCGAGACGCGACACGCGGCGGAGGACCCCACTCAGGTGTGCGACGAAATGAATTGTGCTGGTCGAAGGGAGTCGAATCGATCGTCAATCAAGCTCCGCAGGCTCAGCGATAATTGACCGAGAAAGAGGGGCGCACGAACGGGCCAGAAGAAACGGCCGGGAAAAAAATTAAGGAGACGCGAGTAACAGACGGGCGACGAAGATGATGAAGAAGAATAAAAGAGTCGCGGGCCGAGGGAAAAAGGGGGAGAAAAAGACAAACTAGAGAGACTGACGAGCGGGGAGGCTGCATCGTGAACGCCGAAAAAGAGAAGGAATGAACGGTGTGTAACGGTAAAGCCGGACGTGAGCGCGATCCCGATGCCTTCAGGACCAACGAGACGATGCGTCTCGGTATTTCGAGGATGCCCAATCCGAGATACCTTGCGAGGGTACAGTCCCCAGCTCCCCCGTAGCTCGAGCGTCGCGCGCGGACCCCTCCCCCCTTTACCACTTCTTCTCTCTTTCTGTTCTCTACGCTCTACGTTCGTTCGTGGTGTCTGTTCGCTGGCGAACGAGCTTTGATTTAGAACACACGGGCACACAGTTTGCCGCCGTGTCGGCCTACGTTTTGCCCCGGCAAAAACGCTCTCTGCTTCACCAACTGAGCGAAGGAACCGCCGCCGTGGTCCCAGCTCACTGGCTCACTTTCCCACTGGGCCGTATATGGCTGAACATTTTATCTTCTACGGGGCCCTCGTAGCGAGGGATTGCATGATCAGACGCCGTAAAGGCGAACCTCCACCAGGGACCCAGCATCTTCCTTCCCTTCTATCGCGATCCATCGTCCCGCTCCCCGGGCCACCTTGCTTTTCGATGCAAATCCCGTGCCGAGCAATTGCGCAGCGTTATGCAATTTATGCTGAATCGAGATAGCCGCGATTTATGCCGCCCTGCGATCGGAAGTTTTCTTCGATAACCGCTGCAGGAACTGGTATGGTTGGAGCTATGCTCCAGATTGCATCCGAAGAGCTAATTTGAACGAATGATTGGAAATTTGGAATTCTTGAAGTGTTCGGCCGATGGCGAGGAATTCTTTTCTGGGCCTGATGCGAACACTACATTTAATGATCGACTGTAAAAAAAAAAAAAAAAAAAAAAAAAA